AGGCTACAATATCTTTTAAAGCTAAATGTCAAGCGTTTCATTCCTTAACAGTCAGAGGCTTCTGTGAGTGGACAGCACAGGACAGAAAATGGGTTTTAAAGACAAAACCCCATTCTTCAACTCAGTTTAACAGAAATTTTGTAAATATCTTAGTTACATTTTCTTTCTTTTTTTGAGACGGAGTCTCGCTCCGTTGCCCAGGCTGGAGTGCAGTGGCGCAATCTCGGCTCACTGCAACCTCTGTCGGCTGGGTTCAGGCGATTCTCGGGCCTCAGCCTCCCTGGTAGCTGGGCCTACAGGCATGCACCAGCACACCTGGCTAATTTTTGTATTTTTGGTAGAGATGAGGTTTTATCATGTTGGCCAGGCTGGTCTTGAACTCCTGGCCTCAAGTGATCTGTCTGCCTCAGCCTCCCGAAGTGCTGGGATTACAGGCACAGGCCACCATGCCTGGTCCTTAGTTACATTTTCTACATGTATTTATTACTTGAAGGGGGCCAATACTGAATTTATCTATTAAAACAAACAAAAACCCTCAAGATTAAAACTTGATAGCTTAACGAGCAGTGCTTAGAATATATAAAAATTTTTATTAATTTCTTGTAAATGCCTGTGTAAACAGATTATAAGTATGTCCTTCTTGGCTACGAAACCAAAAGTGAACCATTGTAATGGCCAAGTAAAAGCTTATGAAGGAAGAAATTAAACGGGTCAACTACATTTTACGGCTCAAGTTAACAGCAATGTATGTGATATTTTTGTTATTATTATCATAGCCTTACCATGCAGCAGTTATTATATTTCATATATTTGTGAAAGTGTGCATACTATATTATATTCATTATATTCATGCATGGTGCGTGCTTCTCTAAGGATCCCACAATCTGATCTCACAAACATTATCTATTCTACTTTAAGAACACAAACAGTGAAATATGGACTACGGGAAGATTATGACTGTGCCCAGGACTCCATAATGTGCCTGTCATGGAGCTGGAATTCAGCCCCCTGATCACTGGAACTCCTCAGCAGGAGGGGAACATGCAGGAGGAGCGAAGGGAGGAAGCGGAGGAGATGGAAAACTGGCTTCCAACTCGTTTCGCTGAATCTGTGACTGACTTAAGAAGCAGGGTATGAATTACCATGCGCTTTATTGCCTCCTCTTGGAAACATCCTTATGTCATTGCGCTGTGGCCAGAGCCCTGAAGGACATCTGCTCTCCTTGGGAGCTGCTGAGCCAGGGTGCCCGTGACGTCTTCAGAATCCTTTAGTCCCGACTGTAGGAGAAACTTGGCACAGGCCAAATGCTGACCTGCACAGGCCAGATGCAGGGCTGAGGGGTGAAAAAATCATGTGGACTTGAAAACACAACCCCTGGAGCAATACTGACCTTGTGAGTTGATAGTGCCCAATAAGAATATCGATTCTTTCAATATCTTCCATAATTCATTTTCACAACTTCACCTACACTAGATCAAAATATTTTTCTTTTTAACCTGATTGGGTTGAAAATAGTTTTAAAGATAACAAAACCAGTTAGAGAGGATTTAAGAAATTGATCTAGGCC